CCCAGGCCACTGCAAACGGGCTTCTTGGTGGCAGCAGTCTCTGTCCGCAGAGGAGCCCAACTCCCCACTGGAACCCTGTGGACAAAGGCTGCTGCTGGAGCAGCCTCTGCCTGCAGTGAGCTTCATTTCCCCCCTCCCGCTGCCACTGCCTCTGATGGAGTGGGAGGCAAATGGGGTGGGGGGCAAATAGCACTGCAGAGACAGTGCTGGGGAGAATCAGCTCTTAAACTGGCTCTCCCCATTCCTGTCCCCCTGCTTTGGTGCCTCTAATAGAGGCAGCAGGGGGAGGGCGAAGGGAATTTGGGTGAAGGAGGTGGTTGTAAGGATGTAAGCGACTAATTTACTATCTGATAAGCAAAAACTTATCGGATAGTTGATACATTAGTCGATTAGTCGCTCTCCCCACCCTCCCCCCTTGCTCCCTCTATCACAAAGAGGCAGCAGGCGGGAAGGGGGGAGAGGAGGAGGAGCTGTCTTAAAAGCCGGTTCCCCCCAGCTCCGTGGGTGAGGGCAGGGGCATAGTGGTGGTGTTCCAACTTTGAAATGTGCAAGAGTCCCTTCTGGGGCTCTTGTACATTTCAAAGATTGAAACACTGCGTGGAGCCTGGGACCAGTGGGGAGTCCCCCACTGACTCTGGGCTCCATGTGGGTACTTCCGCTACCCGCTAGGGCTCTTGTACATTTCAAAGTGGAGGTGCCTGCATGGAGCCCAGGGTCAGTAGGGGACTCCCAGCTGGCCCCGGGCTCCAGGTAACATTTCAATCTTTGAAATGCACAAGAGCCTCTACATTTCAAAGGTGGATCGCTACACTAGTCCTTATCGACTAATCAAATAGTCAATGGAAATCCTATTAACTATTTGATTAGTTAATTAATCAAAATTTAACATCCGTAAGTGGCTGACCTAAGGGGGGGACTGGAGTGCATGGGTTTGGGATGTGACATAGGTTAGAAGGGGATTGTGATCTAGGGCAGGAGATTGGGGTGCCAGATCTGGGAGTGGGTATGGGTGCAGGAGGAGAGCAAAGGATTTGGGACTGTTGATTGGGGGAGCAGAGGGTTGGGGAATAAGGGGCTGGAGTGCCAGAGGCAGGCGCTGGCCAGAAGACTTACCAGCTAGTAGCCAAACCAGTCTGCCTTCCTGCAGAGCTAAGGCTTGCAGATGTTAAAACTTTTTCTGGCCAGCCACTGTGTGCCTGGCCATGTGCTTGTATGAATAACTGAGCTGAGGAGAGGGGTCATAGTTTTTCTTGGCGGGCTGTTGTTCAATAGGCGGCTCCCATTGACAAGTTTGTGGCTAGAAACCGGTCAATGTGATTGTTCTGGGGCTGAGGGCAACTCCTGAAGCTTTCCCTCCTCCGCTTCAGTTTTGAAACAGAAATGGGACCCAGCGTTTCTCAGTGGTAAGCAGGGGAGCCTGCCTGGGGCTTCCCCACTGTCTCCCTGGGCCAGATCCAGTGTGGCCATATTTTGCCCAGGCTTGATCTAATGGTTAAGCAGCTAAGTGAAGTCTGGGAGGGGGACTGTTCCTGCCTGGCTGGAGCAAACCCCAGCCTGTGGGCTCCTACTTCCAGCCCTGCACTGGTGCTCGCTGCCAGCTCCTAGCCCCAACAGCCTCCAGTGGAGCAGCCCCTTCCTGTAGGGTGCTTGGTTCCCAATGAACAGAGGTTGCTCCAGATGCTGGAGCAGCCCCTGTACACAGCGAGCCCTCTGTGGGCTCGAGCAGCTCCCTTACCTGAAGCTGGTGGGGAGCTGCTCCAGACCCACTGGTTAAACGGTTAACCTTTCGCATCTCTAAAGCAGTGTTTCCCTAATGGTGTTCTACGGAACCCTGGGGTTCCTCCACAGAGTGAAAATAAAGGTTCCATTACAATAACGTTTTATGATTAAAACATTTTTTGTACACATTAAGTGTGATTTTTGTTTTTAAATATGTGCAATTAAACTAAATGTTAATTTAGCATTTGTTTATTATTATCCTTACTTATTTGTGGTCTACTTTTTGAGCTCCATATATTAGACTGTTATTAGGGGTTCCGCAAAATTTTTTCGAGTTTAAAAGGGTTCTGTGGCCAAATAGCATTGGGAAACACTGCCCTAGAGGATACCTTTGGATAGAAAGTGGACATCCTCAGATTTGCAGGGCTCTAAATACAAAATTTGTATTCATATCTACAAAAATGAATGGTGGATATGCACATCCCCATGTACAGATGCAGATACCTGTGGATATAAAGTATGTTTGCAGGGCCCTATAGGTGAGTTTGTGACTCCTGGTGGAGAACTACTACTGTAAGGGGTGGGAATTCCAAGGGAAGGACCCTGACAAAGCAAGGTACTTCTTGAAATGTCACTCAGCTGTATTCTGCTGTCTTGGTATTGAAGAGGTGCCTTCATCTCGCTTTGTGGTTTGCTGGTTTGGGTCCCAGGTGCAGCTTGGTTATGATGTCTCTGGGCATGTCTCCAGGTTTTCTGATATTTTATTAAATTCAAGAAAGATATAGAGTTATGCTCATAAAACCGATGTTTCTCTTTTCTTGCTCAGGAGACCCCAAACAGGATCTAGCCTATGAACGCCAGTATGAGCAACAGACCTACCAGGTGATCCCTGAAGTGATCAAAAACTTCATCCAGTATTTTCATAAAACTGTCTCAGATCTGATTGATCAAAAGGTGTATGAGCTTCAGGCCAGCCGGGTCTCCAGTGATGTCATTGACCAGAAGGTGTATGAGATCCAAGATATCTATGAGAACAGGTATAAAATTATCCCTCACAGGGTGGGAATTGCTGTTGTAATTGCGCCTATGTTTTTTATATTTTTTTATTAAAGGGAGCATGGATCAGTTGCTTTGATCCAAATTTGGATTTTATTTAAAACGTAAACTGGTGGTATATTGGCTGAGAAGGAAGAAATCTTTTCACTTCCAGATTACTGGTTTGACTTAGGAATGGTTAAATATCAGTTAATTGAATAGTCGATTAACCTCGTGAATTCTTATCTGTTATTCACCTATTCTATAGTTCCCGGAGGTGGGACCGGCAGCCAATGCGCTCACACCTACTCTATAGTTCCCGGAGGTGGGACCGGCAGACAGTGTGCTCTGGCCCCACTCCTGAGAAGCCATCTCCCACTGCGCTTGCTGCCTCTATCAGAGGTAGCAGCGCAGGGTCTCTCCCACTGCGCTGCTGCCTCTATCAGAGGTAGCAGCGCAGGGTGCCAGGCAGAAGCTGGTCCACAATGAGAGCCAGTTTAAAAAACAGCTCCCCTTGCAGACCGGCAGCCTTGTCACTCCATACTGCTGCCTCTGATACAGATACAGCATCGTGGGGTGCAAGCAGTCCCTGTGCAGGAGGGGAGGGCTGAGCTTTTGGATCTCATGTGAGCTGAAACTGAGCCAGGCTGCCTGCCTGCCTGACTCCTAGTGCACTTTAAATGCAGAGATGTAGTGGGGGTAGTTCCGGGCTTGGCATGAGCCAGGACTGAGTCAGGCTGCTGGCCAGCCTGCTAAAAAATGTACTGGCGGGGGTGAAAGGGGAATGCATGTAGTCTATAGCATTAACCAATAAGCTTTTACTTATCGGTTAATAGACTACACTATTACATCCCTAGTTTGACTCATGCCCAGGTCAGTAATAAAATTCATACCAAATGAATTTCAGTTCAGTTCATAATGTACAGATCACAAAGAAGAGCCCCCATTGGCACTAATTAATCCCCCTTGCTAATAAAATCAGCCCATGCCAAGGATCAAAGTGTAGCAATGGGTAACCTAGGCTAGTGAGTGGGCCACATGAAGCTATCCTTCATCTCAGTAGGCTGCAAGATTGCCGTAACCAAGGTGGTGTCCCAGGCTAGGGTAACTTAGCTAATTGTACTTGCATATCTAGAATTTGCAGGTTGTGCTGATCGAAATTTAGCAGTGCTTTAATTGGATGCAGAGGGAGTGCACAGTCAGTTGTGTGCAATCAACGTGCTTCTGCTTTACATGCATTTCACTGTAGTAATACAGTAGGAAAAAAACCTACATGAATGGAAACCAGTGGAAACTGGCAACCCTGTGCGTGAGCAACAGTAAACAAAATGTCTCATGGGCCACATGCAGAGCCCCGATGGGCTGAGGTTGCCCACTGCTTTCATAGAGTCTGACTTTTTTCTAGAAATGGTCCCTCCAGCTCATGGCTTGATCACACTGGCACAGATAATATATCAAACAAGTCTGCACAGCTTCTGTGTGTTAAGGATAAAAGAGAACTTCAGTTTCTACATTGGTTGAACTGGTCCCTCTCATGTACATTAGATTAATGTAGAAATCGGTGTGTGGAAATAGTTTTGATCTAACAAGACACGTTTTCATGATTGGCAGTCTTTAACCCCATCCCTCTTTCACTGATAAATTAATAGTTTAAGTTGTGTAGTCCCTTTACTAAAGATGCCTCTGACTTTTTCTGGGAGGATCCTGTGTGCTGCAATCTAGCCCTAGAGACTACAACTCCCATGAGCCCTTCAGAAAACTAGGGAAACAGGGCTTGTCCAGTCATGTTGAGAGAGGGGCTCGGCAGTCTGGGGCTCTCCATTTTGGGAGAGTGAAGCCAGGCTGCTGTGGAGGAACCTTATCCAGTCCAGGAGCTGTTGTGTTGCAGCTGCAGTCTAGGACTGAGAGCCTGCGGGGCTTGGATCTAGCAGGCTGCTTCAAGGGCTGCTGATTATCCTAGAGGGGAGAAACTCTGACTGCCTTTAGCTGCGAAGGGCTGTGCACACAGAAGGAGGCTGTAAGTAAATGGGCTCTTTGGGAAAGTGCTGCCTGGGACAGATGTCAGAGCTATAGACTAATTCTGGGTCCAGAGAGGCAGAGTGTCCAGCCCAGTGTACCAGAGCTGTTGGCATTTGTTGGAGCCTGCTCCAGTGGCTGAGGGATTTTGTAGCTGGATGCTCAGCTTGGACTAACACACACAGAACCTACATAGAACCTCCATTCCAGCTGTAGACCTTTCAAACGTGCCCACGCAAGCATCTGGGACTCTGAGTCCAGAGGAGTGCACACTCTGGGGTGGGATAAATGATGGCAGTGCAAATGTCAGATAGATAAGTTCCTATTATTTTCTGTGTACTTAATTTTATTCACTGTTAATCTGTTAAACCCTGTTTCTTTAAGTTGTTAAGTAAACGTGTTAATTTTAATGTAATCAATTAGATGTGTATTATTTATAATTGTTGTCCTGGAGTTAGATCCAGATTATTGTTGGAATAATTTTATTCCTGGAGGCTCCCAAGGCACACCATTAAGTGTGTACAGGGCCAGCCAGGTGGAGGCATCGCCATCGTATATTCTTTGAGCCAGGGACTGCAGCAAGGGGGTGGATAGGAAATCCCCCAAAACATCACCACCACTGGGGTACTCAGGATCTCCTTTTATGTTAAAACCATTAGGTGCCCAGGCACACCTGTGAGTGTGACTTGCTCCTGAGTGACCCAAGGAGGAAAAAGGGGTTTATATTTATAATCTCTGGTTTTTTTACAGCTGGACCAAACTGACTGAAAGGTTCTTTAAGAACACCCCTTGGCCAGAGGCAGAGGCCATTGCACCACAGGTTGGAAACGGTAGGTACTTTGTTTATTGGAGAAAAACAAACTACTTTTCTGTAGAAGTAGACCCAGCTGATATTTCTGTCCTGTTTCTTTATTACACACCCACCCACTAGCTGTAACTGACCTGTTTGGCACTCTTGAAAGCTGACAGGCCAAGAACTGAATGAGATCTAGGGATGTTAGTGTGTAGTCGTGATGCTTACCGATTCTGGTTAACTGGTGGGGGCTGAAGCAACTCCCCGCCTGCCATGGGCAGGGGGTGCTCCAGCCTTGCTGGACCTGTTGCAGAAAGGATCTGCTCCAGTTGTCTGGAGAACACTTTGCCTGCAGCTGGAGTGGGGAGGGAGCTGCTTAGCTCAGTGGCTGGCAGCGGGGAAGGCTGGTTCAGCCCAACCAGGCTGAAGCACCCCCACCAATCACCCCTTTACTCAGTTAACCAGTTAAACAATACATTTAACCTGTTAACCAATTACATGGGATTTTACATCCCTAGTTGGGCACTGCTGGCTTTGCAGGGTTGAGATATATGCATTGGAGCTGAATTCTGTGGTGAAGGCAAATCCACAAATCTTCAGGAGGCTTGGGGAGCTGCACACAGTTCCTGTGGCCATATGTTTCTGGAGCAGCCAAAGAAAAATGGTGGGAAAGTGGCTTTCAAAGAATTTTCCATTGCTTTATCCACAACAGCTTGTCTATAATTGACAATGGGAGTGAATCCAAGGCCATGCAGCTTTCCCTATGCCCTCTGCTCCTTTCTTCTGTCCCGTGTCCCCAAAGGTGGGGAGCATGAGTTCTTAAATGTTTTCCCAACTCAAGCCCCAGAGGCAGCCCCCTTGCTCCACTTTCCCTTATTGCAGTAGGGGGAAGTCCACCTTTGTACCTGAAATGTCTTGCTATGTTGACCACTTGGGCAAAGATATCCAGTTCTGCCATTTCTTCCAGATGCTGTCTTCCTGATTCTGTACAAGGAGCTGTACTACAGACACATCTATGCCGCTGGAATCAGAAAGGGATTTCCCCCTCTCCTCTGTTTTCTGTAAAACGTGGTCTCTCTTCCCTGGACTACCTTGTCTGTGATTGAAATAACTCCTGCAGAATGAATCTGTTCATGCTTCTGATATGCCATCATGTGGTCCTGATGGGATCTTGAGAAACTGGGACAGGTTTATGATTGGTAACACCTCTTTTGAGCTCTGATATTTTAAGACTTGATCAACTATCCCCGTCAAGGTTTGTAATCTAACTCTACTTCTTGCTAGCAATTACTTGCACAAAATTAATCATAATTTGTTCATATAAGAAGACAAGGTCTTCTCTGAGAAGTTTGATATACATTAGGGAATATACCTTGGTCAGGCACAGGGTCAGTCTCTTTGTTTTGTAGCTTCCGTGGGTAGCTGAGTTAGTCTGTTACAGAAAAAAACAACAGGTGGTCTGGTAGCACTTTATAGACTAACAAAACATGTAGATGATATCTTGAGCTTTTGTGGGCACAGCCCACTTCTTCAGATGACTGGAGTTATGAGTTTGGGATATGAAAACTTGAAATAAATAGGAAAGGGGAAGGGGAGGAGGGAAAGAAAGAAAAAGGGAGGGAGGTGGGAGACAGAGCATCATTTAGTATCTGGAGAATGGGTACTTAAACCTAAGCAGATAAAAATCAAAGTCAATAAATAGATTCCCAAGACAGGAAGGATACCACTCAGAGAGGTGTTTTGTGTTTGTGCAAGGCGTAGTTCCTAGGTGCTGTGTTCATACAAATGACATGTGATTATTGTGGTGGGTGAATTGAGGAAACAAGAGACAATTGGATTCTATCCTTGACAGAGCTGTAATTCCAAGAGAAGTGTACAGGCAGTCCCCAAGTTACGCGGATCCGACTTATGTTGGATCCGCACTTACGAATGGGGCTTTTCTCGCCCCGGAACTCGCGAGCGGCGGGACCACTCAGACGCGCAGTGGTCCCGCCACCGCATCCTCTGGGGTGAGAAAAGCTGCTCCGGGTGACCCTGGTCTGCTGAGGGGGTTCCCAGCAGACCAGGGACACCCCGAGCAGACCAGGGACACCCAGAGCAAAGCCTTGGAGGTGCGGGACCCCGCCACCTCCGCGGCTTTGCTCCGGGTCTCCCTGATCTGCTGGGGGAGGGGGCGCAGCTAGTGCTTTTGTTGTGGACGCCTGGGGTAGAGCAGGCTTTTGTTGTGGACGCCTGGGGTAGAGCAGCTGGGGTGCTGCCGGGTTGGTCCTGGGGGGACCTACCCGGCAGTGCCCCAGCCGGTCTGTCC